CAAAGGGAGGGAAGGTGATGCTTGTGGGGGAGGAGGGGGTGATAAGTTTACAGATGGAGGGGGGGTAGCAGGAGGTGGCACAGACGGAAGGGGAGGGAGGGACGGAGGAGGTAAGGAAGGGGAAGGGGGGGTGTTGATAATGGTGGTGGTGATGATTGGGGTTGGGGAGGAGGGGCTGGAGGAGGGGAATGAGGAGGCGGACTGGAAGAGGTTGAAGGGGTAGAAGGAGGTGGAGCATCAGGAGTCGGATTAGGCTGCTGTGACACATTGGGAGGAGTAATGCCGGAAGCATTAGAAGGAGAAGTAGCTGGTGGGACTGCATTAGTAGGAGAAGAAGTTGGGGAAGTAGATGTCATCTGCCAAAGCCCAAACCGATTTTTTTTTTTTTTAATCTAAGAAGAGGTTTCTCACAGAGTAGCCTGCACAACGAATACACGCAATGCAAAATTCAAGTCTTTGTCCTAAAACAAACAGAGTAGGAGTGCAATCGAGTAATGCAGAAATCAGCTACAGATTTCTTTCTACTTAAGTTCCTTGTAATGAGGAAGTGTATAAAGTGGAAATAAAGGGGAAAAAAAGGGGGCTATAAAGAAAGGGCAAAACGGATAAAACCGGTCCCTGCGTGAGTAATGAGTCCGAGTCCTCCCCGGATTTGAGAAAGACTGAATTTTTGAGCCAACAAAGGCGGAAAAAAAAGAACAAATTCAAGCGAAGAACAATAGAGTAGCTCCGACTTCTAGAGGACCTAGACTAACAATACCAGCATCATTTATGATAATAAAAAAAAAAATGAGCGGAAAGCAAGTGCAATGCAGGCAGATCAGAAAATGAGAAGAGAAAGAAAAGAAACCTGAGGGACGGAGACCGTATCCACTGTGTACCCAGATCAGCAAATGGCTTTGCTGGTGCGAGTGCCAGCCACCGTTGTGTTTCATCGACCAGACCACCCCAGCCCAGTTACGGGTTTAGGAAGCAGGAAAGGAAGGTGGAGAGGGAAGGAACGCCGAAAATTCTTGAGAAAAGCTTCTTTCAAAAAAAAATAAAGTACAGCAAAGAAAGTCAAACAACAGATGACCGCACAGAAACGTGTGTGCCACTTCAAAGAATCGTGTAGAGGGCGGGGATGGCCATGGAGAGAGAGAGGCATCCGGATCGTTACTAATAATATTTATTGAGAATAAAAAGAAGAAGAAGAAGAAGAAGAAGCGATACAACATGGCTCAGACTCGGAACATATCATCATTCGCGTTGTAGTAAGTAGCGTGCTCGTGTGTATATATTAAATATTAATTCGACCCACTCTTTACCGCGGACCTTCTTGTGCCAGACTACTGGGAGCAGGCAGTTTTCATTTTCATTTTCCCGTGACACAGAGAAAAGCGATCGAGAGACGAACACAGTAGTAATGTACTAGATTTGTACTAGTCAGGCATCCACTCCCAGTTCCAGAGACGAACACAGTAGTTACTACTAGATTTGGGCGGCGCCTTCCTCTTTTGCTTTTATTTTTTTGCCCCCTTTTTTGAGATAGGGAATTGTTTCCGTATCTCCGATTGTTGAGCCAGCCACAGTAGTAAATCAAAGATACGTAGGATACGTCAAAATCAATTTTGATGACCAACTCTGACTTGAGATTCTAGAAGAAACGATGAATATACAAATGTGGAATATGCATCAGGTCAGAGAGAGAGAGAGGTAATTTGTATCGGGTTCCTAGCTAGCTACAAATATATACATATTTTTCTAAAAGCACAAAATACCGTTCAGCTGAAAAGATGCTAGCTACTTTATGAATTGCTCGTCTAGAGGATATCCACATGCTCAAAGCTTTGCTTATGAATTGCTCATTTAGCTTGGCTGGCAATCAGTGTAATGATTTAGGTAGAAGAATTAGCATGTATGCTACTACTTTAGTACAAGATGAAGAATTAGCATGTATCTAAGTCCTCTGTATCGAATGACACAATTGTAAACCTCCGCATGGGCCGTTGCTCCAGTTGTATAGCTTGCTTTGATTTCAATACAAGTTCTAACGTTTCCGTTAAAAAAAAAAAAAAAAAAAGATGCTAGCTACTTCATGCTCTTTCGCCAAAAAAAAAAATATTAAAAGAAAATTACAAACTTTCGTTCAATAATCATTAGGTTAGGACTTAGGAGATAGATAAAATGTTATAAATACTAGTAATATCGGTCAATAAACAAGACCACCCATGCATCCATTCATGACCATGCGTATTCATACAAATAATAGTAATAATAATAATTTTAAAAAAAAAAAAGGATAGTACAACAAATTCCAGATCCAAAGTACCCTAAAAAATAAAAGGGATAATTGCAGAAACCTCCCCTGAGGTTTTTGACATTTGTACTTATCTCCCCTGTGGTTTGAAAAATTACACTAACCTCCCCTGAGGTTACTAATCCTTTGCAAATTCAGTCCAAACGATTAAAATATTGTTTTAGAGAGTGAAATTAGAATTTTTTACCAAATTTGTCATTTGTACTACATGTCCAATGCATGACAAAATACTACAAATCAATTAATAAGTAATAAACTTTAAGGAGTATAGTTTATTGGCAAATATGCATTACTTATTTAAAGTACCGACTCTTTATGGGTATTTTACTTTCAAACATTTAATTTAATACAAATATTTACACTCAAATGCATATTTGTATTTACTTTAAAATATTTAATTTTTGTTAAATACAAAAACTACCAATCTCTCTTCCGTAAAAATATTAATATAACATTTTTTCAATTCTAGTTACAAACATTTATGTATTTAACATAAATTAAATGATTCAAAATAAAATACCTATAAAGAGCCAATACTTTACTCATGGAATGGATGAAAGTCATAAAGAATTAATACTTTTTGGATCATTTTTTAAAAAAATATTTAATTTATACTAAATAAATAACCTACCGATTTCCTTTTTACAATAATATTACTGTAACACTTTTTGAATTTTACTAATAAATGTTGATATATTTATCATAAATTAAATGTTTGAAAGTAAAATATCCGTAAAAATTCGATACTTTAAATGAGTAATGCGTTTTTGCCTATAAGGAGTCGGTAACTATTTAAAGTACCGGTTCTTTAAGGGTATTTTACTTTTAAACATTTAATTTAATACAAATATTTACGCTCAAATACAGATTTGTATTTACTTTCAAATATTTAATTTTTATTAAATACAAAACCTACCAATCTCTCTTTCGTAAAAATACGAATAGAACACTTTTTCAATTTTAGTTACAAACATTTATGTATTTAACATAAATGAAATGATTCAGAATAAAATGCACATAAAGAGAGAAATATTTTACTCGTGTAATGGATAAAAATCATAAAAAATTAATACTTTATGGGCCATTTATTTTTTTTAAAAAATATTTAATTTATATTAAATAAATAACCTATTGATTTGCTTTTTGTAAGAATATTACTATAACATTTTTTGAATTTTACTTACAAATATTGATATATTTTTCATAAATTAAAAATATTTAAAAGTAAAATACTCATAAAGAGCTAGTACTTTAAATAAAAAATACGTATTTGCCCATAATTATACTCTTTAGAATTTATTAATTGTTAATTGATTTATAGTACTTTGTCATTCATTGGATATGTATAACAAAGGGCAAATCTGGTACAAATTTTCAATTTCAATCCCTAAAATAATATTTTAATCGTTTGGACTAAATTTGCAAATGATTAGTAATCTCAAAGAAGGTTAGTGTAATTTTTCAAATCATATGGGAGGTCAGTGCAAATGTCAAAAATCTTAGGGAGGTTTCTGCGATTGTCCCAAAAATAAAAAAGAAACAAGAGAGAGAGAAGAGAGGAATAATCACTCGTCCATCAGTTTGGTATTTCGTTACGAGAAGTAGTAGCTGCTGCTGATATTGACACTGACGACCATGTATTTATTACTAGGGAAAAAAGTCTACGCCATGCGCGAGAGTTTAGTACCTATAAGTAAAGATAGTTAATAATTATTATTTAGTATTTTGTAGTATAAGAATTGAAGTATGACAAATTTATTATGTGATATTAAACAGAAAAATCATAAATTACATATTGAGTCAAAAAAATATAATATGCAATAAAATATAATTATAAAATATGATTAATCAAATGTAATGAAGTAATTATAAAACATTTTAATCCACTCAATTCAAGAAAACAATTAAAAGTAATGAAGTACATATTTTAGATTTGCAGCCAAATAGTTTTAACTAAATAGTTAAATATATTGACAAATCAAATGAAGTGAAAAATTACCTAAATAGAATAATAAAAAATGTAGCAAATGATTTGAAAATTACTGTAACTAATAGTTAAAACAACAAAAGAAGTAGATGCAATATATTAATGACAAAATTTATGATGACAAACTTATTATAAACCACAAATAACAATTAATAAATGTGATCTCCTTCCTATTAAACCTATCTAACATCGGCAATTGAAATTAAAACACTAAAAAAAGTATTGCACATACAACTTGCAAGATTACAAATTTCTTACAACCAAAAAAATAGATTACCTAAAGAAAACAAACCTATTGAGAAAGATGTTGCAAAATGGGAAAGAGTAGTAGTTAATATAGCAACATCTGAATTCAATAAACTACATGATTGTAGTGAAACAAAATTATAGGTAAATGAAATGAATTTAAATAAACAGGGGTTACTATAGTAACGGTCAAGAAATCAAACTTCTCTACTAATCAACATTAATTATGTTTTAACATCTATATATCATAAGTTTGCAAATAACTGTTGAGAAAGGCTTTAAGAAATTAATGTTAATACAATTAAATGATTAAAATGATTTTATATATATTTCACTAAAATATAAGCTGAATTCAATTGTACCGAATATTTAATTGAATATTCGATACTGTCACATATTAAATTTGCTCATTTAAATGTCTGAGGGGACATTTAAATAATTATAAAAAAAATAAATCAGTTATAATGATTTATATTCAATACTCCAATTGCACTTCAAATACTCTTATATTCCCAAAATAGCCTTGCAGTTGAAATCTTTTCCCTAAACTCATTCTTCTTATATAGTATAAGGATACATAATTACACAGTGGAATAGAACGACTCGGTGGTGGCAAGTGGCAAGTGGCAAGTGGCAAGTGGCAAGTGGCAAATGGCAATGGCAATGGCAATGGCATGGTTCTGGCGTTGTGATTGATGTCTCTCATCAGATCAGAGCTCCTCGTCACGAGTAGCAGCAACTTCATCCTTCAGATGGCGAGATTTTTCCTTTGCAGCCTGCATGTTGGAGTCGATGGCCTCAGCAGCTTTGTGCTTGGCGGTCTCGTACCCTTGCTTGGCTTCTTCCGACGCCATCTTTCCCATTTCTGCACCTGCTTCCTTGGCTGCTTCTGCCTTCTCAGCCGCCTTCTGTCTACCCTCTCCTGTCTTATGAACAGCCTCTTCTGCCTTTTCAGATGACTTGCGCCTCGCCTCCTCAACAGCCTCTCCCGCCTTCTCCTTGGCCTCCTCTGCCTTTTCGGCTGCTGTTTCCCTGGAATTCCTAGCCTTTTCTGTGGCTGCATCCCTTAACTCTCCAACTTTCTCGGCAGTGTGCTGGCCAGCACCTGCAGCAGATCGCGCAAGGAGATCATTTTTACGCTGAAAGAAATTTTTTTTTAAAAAAAAAAAAAAAACTCTTCCATGATGCTGTAATAAACTGTACTTAATTTGACGTCAAAAGATATTTTACTCCTGCTGATTTATTTATAGTACTAGTATTTATTACATTTAGTTAGGCAAGAACGTAGTGGTGGCGCTTGGTAGTAATTAAGGTACGTAATGGATGGTACCACTGACCAGAAGCAGAGTCTTTAATCCTATCTTTGATTTTCTTAGCAGCCGCATCAGAAGCTTGCTTAGCCTTGTCGGTGCCCAATCCTAAGCCTTCAGAGATCTTGTCCTTGGCCCATTCTGCCCATGACTCCGCACCCTCTTTCCCCGTCTCCGCTGCATGCTCGATCTTCACCTTGGCCTCCTCATATTTGGAATTGGAATTGGGGGGGTCGTTCTCGGCGCAAGCAACTGCCGCAATTAGCGTGATCACCACCACCCCGAGTCCAAGAACAAAGGAGCAGTTCCTGTGCTGCATCATGATCGCAGAACCTCTTTTGGAAGCCATTCTTCCACTCCGGCAGATACCCATTCTGTCGTTCACACGTCGTCACTCAGAATTTTGAAGTGTAACATAATACACCAGCTTAGCTGTTTGGTTCAACCTTTTCGGGTATGTGCGTACCCGTTATATACACACAGATACAAACTGCGAGCTAGTTGGTAGGACAAGCCCGACCGGGACTGCAAGCGGGTTAACTAAAGTGGATTTGTTTTGCAGTCTCGCGAACAGATCAATAGCATGCCAGCAACGGCACAATCTGCACGTAGGGGTTTTGACCTTTTTTCAAGGAGCGAGCGACCCTTTCAATCTATACATATAGAATAGATATGCGTGGTAGAGTGAAGAATGTGGTCGGCGAGGAAAGGTACATAGCAAATTGAGGCGGTTTGCCCAACGGAAGATAGATAGGTGGCAAGCTACGTGGCTAACATCTACTTCATTCTCCATATCTTACTGCCACATGTGTTGCTGCCATCCTTAGCCAGCCAGCCAGCTACCTGACCAAGACTGTATATATATATATATATATATATTTTTTTTTTTTTTGACCATGACTGTACATTCAATTCAAGGTTGATTATGTCTTTCTTCATGCCTGCATAAATATCATAATTCTACTTGGTTCCTTGCATATTCATCGAATGTACTTGAGATGCTAGATGACAATCACCATCATTAATAGAGGTCTCCAAGAAACTAAGAAGTGGCGTATAAAATATATCAATGCTGAATAGGAGATGCGAAACAATTGTGAGGACTACCCAGCCAAATGTAGCGTTTATGCAGATTTGAGGAGGAAAATGTTAGAAGAACCCTCCAGATGCCATAAGACAGCTGCTGCTCGTGGAGGATGTTTTAGGCGTTACCACCCCTTGCCTTGTACCGTGTGGTTTGGAGCTTTAACTCTTCAACAAACACCCAACACCCCCCCCCCCACCCCCCAAAACGAAACCCAAAAACAAAAAAAACGTCGCAAATAGATTACCAATCTAACTTGCAAAGAAGTCAAAGAACATCAACAGGGCAATTTACTAAGACAACAAAAACAGAAGATAACGGTGCTCAATGCTAACATTCCTCTGACTCCCATTAATTAAACGGTGACCATTTTTGCCGACTCCCAGAGCAACAATCACGAGTTTCAGCTTAAACACCTGCTAAAAAGTAGAACAGGATTTTATGGCATGAGCATTCATGAATCTCCTACAAGTCAGAAACTAAATCAACGACCACATGTGACATGACTAGAGAACCTCGATAGATAATTCAACCCTTCCCTCTCAGAACCAATCATCAACTTCTCCTTGTACACTTGGGACTGCTGCTGCTAACAATAACACCTTCCTAACTTATCAAGTGACAAAAGGCCAACAAACTCATCCCTTTAAATGAACAAATCCTTCACCAAACTAACTACATTGTCCATCTGCATACTTCAAGATTGCAGTTCTACCACATTGACTCTCATTAAACCTGACACATCTAGAGATCAAAGTCCATCAGCAGTTTAATTACATTGGAAAAGAAGAAAAGCCAAAACTCATGTGCTTCCTTCAGGCTCTTCAGTTGATATGGCTGTCAGAAGATGAGTTCTTGCACATCGTTATCTACAGCATTGTGCTTGCTGTTTCAGAAAAAAATTCAAAACAGGAAAATCAGAAAACATGTCATGCAGCCACAAGCCACAACTAGCAATACAGATGACAATGTCATAGTACAATTAGACCACACAGAAACTGATGCCTTCTATATTGCAAAATCATCTCACAGTAGCACAAGCTTAAATATGAGGCACTTCATAAATTCCTTAGATAGGCAATCGAAGTAGACGTAAAGATGTTCGACATGTACCACAGAGCCCAAACCAACCAAATCTCAGCCAAAATACACACACACGCAAACACATTTTTACATTCTAACTGAATTCCTGCACGACAACTTTTACATCAGAGGCAGACAATAGAGATCAAAACAATGGAAAAGAAACTCTAAAACTGCAGTCGTGCTTACATACAAAAGTCTACTCCAGATGTCCATCAAAAGAAACTCTTTTTCCAGATGCCAGCAAAGAAGGCTATATCCTTGCCAATATTCTTTTTACTTTTTCCTGTACCTCTTCTAGAAGATGACCATATTCTCTTCCTACACTATCCTAATCATTAGCAAGTAGGAAATCACATTCTTTCACTTTCTAAATGGTAATGTAGTTATTTTTCAGATGTCCTAAATTTATTTTTAATGAAGCATACTTTTTATAAAGGTGATATCAAATCTCACATGACAAGGAGGCTGTGATGAAGCTCAGTGGTCTGATTCTAACACCAGTCTTAATACTGGTAGCTACAACGAGCAAGACAAAAATTAGATATGTATGCATTGACACTAAAGGCATGGGGAAAGTGTATCTGCACAAAACCATCTGAAACAGACACACATGTACTCACGAGTTTAAAGCAATGACTGGGCATAGATATAAAACCAAGACGGAACATCATTTGGACTAAAAAGAGAGTATCAATGTCATGGCATGAAACTTCTGGCAAAAGATTCCAATCACAAGGTCAAATAAGTAAAGAGACAAGTAAAAGATTACAGGAAAATTTGTACTACTTCAACAAATCACCAGCACAAGTAACCAGTGTCACATAATCACAAGCTGAAGAAAGTTTCCTTCAGAGACATACTTGCACGTCTTTTTGTTGTGACCCAGACCCTTGCATTTGCTACACTGGAGCTGGCGTTTGATTACGTCCAGGGAATCAGCCTGTTTCATCTTGGGTCTGCCTGGCGGGCGTTTAGTTGGTGGTGGAGTTACTATAACAGCAGTTCCTTCCAACTCACCATTAACAGGTTTTTCAACATTTGGTACTGGGTTAATCGACTCTGTGTACGTCAAGTGATAACTCTCAGTGGTGAAGTACCTTGAGCAATAATCATACGAACTCCGACCAAGGCAGTCAAAAACAGCAATTGCGTGGCAGCAAGGTAATCCTGTGAGCTGCCATCCTTTGCAACTACAGTCCCAATGATCAATGTCAACAATATCAACAGACTCACCACGAACTTCAAACGTGCTGCCATGCAACAGTAATACTTGAAATGGTGCTGCCTTTGAAGCCTCATTCTGAAGTTTTTCCTCCATTAAAGGGGTGAGCCTTGTAGTCCACTGACTGGAATCAACCCTTCGTGTATAGATCAATTCCATCATCTTACCTCGTAAGACATCAACCATCTGAGTTATTGGCAACTCATCAGCCTCTGATACCCAACTGCAGAACAATTGTCCAAAGTTGGATGTCATATGGTTGTACCTTGCCCCACCAAAAAAAGCATTTGCCCAGTGGGCTGGCTCACTTTGTATGACCCAATTGTAAGCTTCAGGTGAGATGGCCTTTATGTTTTCCGCACAGCGTTCAAATGCCTCAAGTTTTGGTGCATAGGCAGCAGCAGACAAATCCTGGACCATGAGTCGTCTTGCTTCATGTGAAAATTGCCCCTTCAAATCTCTATTCAGTTTCTCAGCTAGATAGCGTAGGCAATAACCATGATAGCAGGCTTCACCAAATATATCGCGTAATGACTCTCTTATTCCTTTCTGGGAATCAGCAATAAAGGTGATTTGCCTGGATGTTGAGACAGCAGACTTGAGTTCCGACAGAAACCAATGCCAATTTTCGTCAGTCTCTTCATCAACAACAGCAAAGGCTACTGGAAAGACACTATCATTCCCATCTGCAGATGTTGCAGCCAACAATGTGCCTTGATACTTTGAGTACAGAAGAGTGCTGTCGAGGAAAATAAGAGGCCGACAACCTTGCTGAAAACCAGATATTGATGCATGAAACGAGACAAAGAGCCTGTGGAAGCTGGAGTCCTCCTTTGTCGCAAATGTAGCAATACTACCTGGATTTGTTTCCATTATCTTTTGACAGAAGAAGGGTAGCTGACAGTAGGCCTCTTTATAAGATCCCTGAAGCTGCTCACGGGCAATCTCCTTGGCACGCCATGCCTGCGAGTAGTTCAATTGAATGCCATACTCACGCTTTATGTCCACAGCAATATCCTTAGGCTTGTAATTTGGAGAAACTTTCAATTTTTCCTTGATGATATTTCCAACCCATCCCCTTGTTGCTCTATAACCGGCTTTTACCGAAGTTCCTTCACAAGTATGCTTCGCATTCATTTTCTTGATGCAGATGAGCTGGGTGGTGGCCAATCTGGACGCATATATTCTCCAAGGGCAACCTTCGGATTTGCATTTGACAGTCACACGGTGACTGTCATTTTTCTTATATTTGTAAGTAAATCCATGGGCAATGGAGTATTTATGCAGAGCTTCGCGGAATTCAGGGAAGCTATTAAATCTTTGGTCAACACCAGTGATAGTATTCTCCCACTGAATTGCAGCTCTACGATGCTTCTCGTCATAAATGTCAAGTGGAGAAGTATCGATTGGCTCCTCCATATCAATGGGCTGATCATGAGCATGAATTAAGTCCTGAGAGCCGCCAGGAGGAACCACGGCCTCGGACACAGTAGTCCTGCTTGACCTGCATACTCATAAAGCGAGCAAGCTACCACATAAACTACATTGTATTCAGTTGCCATAACTGTTATCAGGACGGAATAAAATTCAAGTGTTCATTCCAAGAACAACGAGAGCACCGAAAAAAAAAGGAAAAAGAAAAGGATAAACAAGCTTGAAATGGTGGTAATTACCTACTGGCAGGCATGTTGGATACGTTGCGCGCAACAGCTTCCTCAGCAATGATAAAAACCTCGACCTGGTCAGAATCCTTGAAGAAGTTGACCATGCGCTTGAGGTCCTTATCTTTAGAGATGGTAATGAGGGTCTTCTTGTTCCCGGGGAGGAAGTACTTAATGGTCATTCCCTCAACACTGCACTGAAAGGTCTCAGAAAGTTCATGCTTGAAATCCTTCAAGAGAGTCTGCTGATCGAGGTCCAGAGCATAGGCCTCTCCACCAGTGTAGTACAGGGAGCCATCCTCTTTATTGGTGGCAAACTCGCCTCCAGATTGGCATATGGCTATAATTTTTTTGGCGGACATAACTCTTACGAGGACAAAAGGTACAGTTTAGACGAACCCCAAAACAAAGGGGGGGGGGGAGGGATCTTGGAGAGGAGTGATATGGCTAAGTTTAGCTTCTAAGTGCGAATTGATTTTAGTGGCATGGAAATTCACCTACATTGGAACAAAAACTAGAAAAGTTTATAGCTTTGGAACAAAAATTGACCGTACAACACGACGGTTGGGGGTGGGAGAGGTGAAGAACAAGAAGCGAAGCCCTAATAGCACTTAGAATTATAGCAATCCCCAAAACCTATATTCTACAGAGAGAGAAACAGGAGAGAGCCCTAAAGGGAGGAATAATCGGAAATAGTACTCAACAATCACAAAGAAAAAAACAACTATGGAATTGCTTGAACAATTAATATGAAATGCATAATTAACCATGAGGAGATTTATCCTTGGAAT